CTTGAAGAACACAAGATAATTCAGTTACGTAGATTTATTTATATATGGTGAAAATAGGATTGGACAGGAAGAAGTTTATGATAACATATATGTAATATGCGCCCTTTATAGTCTTTCAAACATTTTGTTGATCGTTCCCTACACAAGACCTGAAAAGGGAATGAAAACAAAAGGAAATAGTTGGACGGTATTAAACCCCCTTGCCAAGAAGAATAACAACTTATTTTTTTAGTGGTGTCCATGCCCATCATCCTCAGCCCTCCTCTCTGGATCAAGTTTAATCAGCGTATCAATTCTCATAATCGCAATACAAGCCTCCACCGCACTCTTCAGTTGCTTTATTTTACTCATGCTAGGTTCCAGGACGCCTGCTTTAACACAATCGACAACCTTGCCCTTGGTGAGGTCGAGGCCGTAGTTTCTATACATCTTCTTCTTGACGATAGCTTTCTCTTCCTCGTTGGCGTCGCCTTCTTGGACGCGCTGGGAGAGGGCGTGGCGGACTCGGAGCTGCGCTACGAGTTCCGACGAGTCCTTGGCCGCGTTTATAGCGAGGGTTTTGGGGATGATGAGGAGAGATTGGGCGAACTCGCCAATGGCGAGCTGCTCGCGGGAGCCCTGTTGAGATCTTGTTAGTTTTGATGGATCAAGATAGTCACAATAATGCTTAAGAGCGGGTATGGTTGCGGGTATTGTTTCGGCCTACCACTGTGACTGCAAATTCCTCAAGGTAGATATGCAGTGCGGTCTCTACAGCTCCTCCGCCGGGAACGATACTTCCACTCTCCAATGCCCTCTTGACAGCGCACAGAGAATCGTGTACGGATCGTTCCATCTCATCGAGTTGGAAATCGTTTGAGCCACGCAGGATAATCGAAGCAGCAGTGTGAACCTTTGTTCCCTTGATTAGGATGCATTCATCATCAGATATCCGCTCCTGTACCACCTCCTCCGCATGTCCCAAGCTAGACGGGTCAAATTTATCATCACCATTAAGATCAGATAGCGTGCTAACTAGCGTTGCTCCCGTGGCCTTCGCGATACGTTTAAGGTCTTCCTTCTTGCATCTTCTAACTGCCATCGTACCCTTCTCGACGAACGTCTTGAGACAAAGGTCATCAATTCCCTTGGTAGTGAGAATGACATTTGCACCCGCTTTTAATATCAGCTCGATTCTCTCGAGAACAATTCCGGCCTCTCTCTCACGGATCTTCTCGAGCTGTTGGGGATCATCAATGGTAACATGGACACCAAGTTTCATCCTTTCCTTCTGCAAATTCATATCAAGACAGGCGATCTTCGCATCGGTAATCCGAGTCTTCATGGCTTGTGATGCAACTGTGCAATTAAGAGCGTATCCATTAACAAGGATCGATTCAGTAGCACTCTTTCCATGGGCCTTAAGCAAGTTGACAGCTTTCACTGGGTATTTGACCTCATTTCGCGGCGTGGTCGTTTTTACTTGTTGCATCGCATCAACCACCATGTTAGCGAAAAAATCCGCATCAGCGCCTATGATCTTGCTTGACATTGATGTCTTTGCAATATTTATCAAACTGTCCCTCCCTAGGTGCTCTACTTTTGTGCTGATGTTCTCATTCATATACTTCACAGCTTCCCTGAGGGCCAATCGGTATCCAGTGATGATCGTAGTGGGGTGTATCCGGTTCTTCATCAGCTCGTTCGCTCGTCGTAAAAGCTCTGCCGCAATTAGGACAACGGAAGTCGTTCCATCACCAACCTATAGATAACATATATTTTAGAAATGAACGGGAAAACGGTGAAAAGGAGAGGGAATACGGGACCGTACCTCCTTGTCCTGTTGCTTTGCCAGATCCACCAGGATTTTCCCCGCAGGGTGTTCAATATCTAACAAGCTTAGAATAGTGGCTCCGTCATTGGTAACAGTGACATCCTAATCTAATATCAATACCTCTACTTAACCCGGTTATATCCAGGAGAGTTTTATCATGGCTTACCCCGATGTCATCCACCATCATTTTGTCAAGCCCGGAAGGACCAAAGGAGCTCTTCACCACGTTGGCAATAGCTTGAGTGGCCAGTACTAAGAAACACTAGGTAAACAGCTTGATATACAATACATATGTTGAATAACGGTCACATACCATTCTGATCTCGAATATCAGCACCGCTGATTTTCTGTCCTCCTAGAACTGTGGAAGCTGTTAGTTCATCTTCCCCCGACATTAAAGAGCAAGGAAGCTCACAGAGTTGTCCCGCATTGCGAGGAGACTCAAAAATCCCCGCCATATCAAATCAAACGGTCGAAAGAGTAATTAAACGAGAAGATAGACGCTTTCTGGTGACCGTTGCTCCCTCAGTTTTTGCTGGTGACTTTTTGGTTGATATCGGAGAGAGATATTCTTGACTGTCATTCTGCCGGTCAAAGGCGGTGAAGTTTTTGAGAACATCATCTAATCAAGCTTAAAGGACTTGACTCCTCCCGCTTCGTAACCCGGACACCAGCTTCAATTCCACATACAACCCGCGAATCCTGCCTACATTGAATATTTGGACACTTTGAAATGTCATCGCAACAAGTACAGGATGACATTAGCGCCTCAGCACAACCTGTGCCAGCTGGAACCCAAACTCTCCCTGATCGCACGATGGACCCCGCTACTGGGGGAGAAAACCACCCTGCTGGCGAGGTATCCAAGAACGCTGCCAAAAAGGCCGCGAAGAAGGAGAAACTAGCTGCTGAAAAATCTGAGAAATCGGCCAACAAGGGTATTGGCAAATCCGAAGCTAAAAAAGCGACAACGCAAAAAGCTTCCAAAAAAAAGCCAGACGGCCCTGCGCTCATTGGTATCGATGTTTTAAAAAATGATGATTTCCCAGGTTGGTACCAACAGGTGCTATTGAAGGGAGAAATGTTGGATTACTATGACGTGTCGGGTTGTTTTATTCTGAAGGTGCATTTTCCCTTATCCAGAAACTATATGTCCCATTCAAATATTTCGAAACCTCTCACTAATCAATGTCATCGCGCCCGTTTTCTAGCCACATTCTTACTTCATTTGGGAGACAATCCAAACGTGGTTTAATGACAAAATTAAGAAGATGGGAGTTAAGAATTGCTCTTTCCCGCTATTCGTGTCTGAAGACGTTTTAAACAAGGAAAAAGACCATATAGAGGGATTCGCTGCTGAAGTTGCTTGGGTCACTCATGCGTTAGTCTAGGACCTCAAACCACGTCTTGATCTCTCTAAATGATTACCCATACGCCTACTGACATCAACGAAAAGAGGAAATTCTAAGTTAGAGCGGAAGATTGCTATCCGTCCCACATCGGAAACAGTTATGTATCCGTACTACGCCAAATGGATTCGAAGCCATCGCGACCTCCCTCTCCGCCTTAATCAATGGAACTCCGTCGTCAGATGGGAGTTTAAGAACCCCCAGCCATTCCTCCGCACCCGTGAATTCCTCTGGCAAGAGGGCCACACCGCACATTTGACTGAAGCAGCTGCTCGCGAAGAAGTGTTGCAGATCCTGGAACACTATGCACATGTCTACGAGGAACTTCTTGCTGTCCCAGTCATCAGGGGCCAGAAGACCGAAAAGGAAAAATTTGCAGGTGGTCTTTATACGACCACTGTTGAAGGCTACATCCCAGCTACGGGACGTGGTATTCAGGGAGGAACGTCTCATGGCCTGGGTCAAAACTTCAGTAAAATGTTTGGCATTACCGTAGAAGACCCATCTGCCAAACCTGACGAGAAGAAACCTGCGCTTCATGTTTGGCAAAATTCTTGGGGTCTGTCTACCCGCACCATTGGTATCATGGTCATGGTTCACGGCGACGACCTGGGGTTGGTACTTCCCCCGCGGGTTGCAGATGTTCAGACTGTGATTATTCCTGTTGGTATCACCGCCAAGACGACTGATAAAGAGAGAGCGTCCCTATACGCCGAGATTGATGCGCTAGCAGCTGTCATCGAAGATGCTGGCGTCAGAGTTGAAGTCGACAAACGAGATAACTCCCCCGGCTGGAAATTCAACGACTGGGAACTCCGCGGCATTCCTCTTCGACTCGAATTTGGCCCAGGGGAATCGGCTGGCCATTTCGTGACGACTTCTCGCCGTGATATTCCTGGCAAGGATGGAAAATCCACGATTCCCATTCCCGAACTTAAGACTCAGGTCCCTGCCCTCCTTGAAACAATCCAGGCCGATCTCTACAAACGGGCAGAGAAAACCTTCCGTGCTCACGTAAAGCATATCACCAACTGGGATGATTTTTCCCCTGCTCTTAACGAAAAGAATCTTTGCCTGATTCCTCACTGTTTGACAGAGCAGTGTGAGGATGAGATCAAGGATATGAGCGCCCGAAAAGTTGAAGAAGAGACTGGTGAGGCCCAGGACGCCAAGGCCCCAAGTATGGGTGCGAAGAGCTTGTGTATACCTTTTGAGCAGCCGCCTGGTATTGAGAAGGGAGTCACGAAGTGCACGAACCCTAATTGTGAAAGATTCGCCGAAAATTGGTGCTTATTTGGACGTGAGTTGCAACTCTCCTTTACTTCTCCTTCCCCACGTATATTTCATCATTGTGCTTTTGTTTCGTTGCCGACTACAGAAACTAATACATGTTCACTCATAGGCTCCTACTAAGCAATGGTCGCCCTTATCCTGCTAAGTTTAGGAACTCAGCTTTATCCCCTTAGTCCTTTATGCAAGAACGTGATTCACACAACTTCCCTGAACGTGATATTCGTGCTTAACGGCCCACGAATTCCCTTTTTCTGACAGACCCCAATTGTTTCTAGTTATGGCGTGATGTTTTCGATCAACGGGATAAGTCGAGCAAAAATAAAGATAAATACAATAACGGTATTTGGTACGGAGATTCTGCTGTTTCTGTAGTTTGTATTTATTTCGCATATATACCCACGTATATTTATCTCATGCCTACTTTTGGGATTTCATTGGGGCTGCTTGGTGCATCTAAACCTCGGTCTTATTTTCCAAATTTCATGTCTTTGCCCGGTAGATTTCAAAGGGACTCTCATCATCCCTGACTCTATTTAATAATAATGCACATGGTAAACATGAGGAGTAATATAGAAATATCACTGGGCTCCATTCATCGGAGAATCCCTATTATTAATATGATATTATGATTAATTAGATGGATTTTCAAATATAACAATACTATATTAGGTAATAAAATATATTCTCATTTCGGCCAATATAACAGTGTGGTGTCGTGGTGTAGTTGGTTATCACGTGAGTCTAACACACTCAAGGTCCCCAGTTCGAGCCTGGGCGACATCATCCTTTTAATTTTCTTTTTATAGAACTTCCCAGTTCTCTTTTTTTTAAAAGTTTTTTTTTTTCCTTTTTCTTGTAAGTCATTTATGAGAGATTCCCAACAATCTATGACCTAGTATTTGACTCTTTTTTCAATCTCATTTCAGTCTATCTTACTGTGTCCCTATATTGTGAGTGCTCAGAAAAGGATTGTGGGAATGAATAAAGACACTATATGTCATGATTAAAAGGGGAATTGATGAATGACAATCACGAGGGTTGAGAAAAATGTCCAACAACAAATCTGTAAGAGATTGGTGTAATAGGATTATGAAAGGTGGATTATTTATAATATTTATATCTCTATCTATGCAAATCTGTCCTTCGGTATATACTGCATGTATGTACTGATCCCCGGTTTCCAAATAATATGTCTATATTGTCAAGCAAAAATCAATAAGACCAAAAGAAAATAAATAGTGGCGGGGACTTTGGAAACGAGCATTGAAAGCAAGAAAAATGTTGCGAAATATACGGAGATGAGGTAGAGGAAAGATGAAGGTGACTTTGTCGCCCTAAATGTGTCTCAACAGTAGTTGGAATATGTATAATAACGAAAAGGGGAAAATGGATGAGGGGAATCTGAATAAACAAGAGATGAGAAGGAAAAGAGCCCAATATCTAACTGGATGATATATAGAGGAAGAATAAATAGATAGCGGAAAAAAATCCGGAAGTTCAAACAAAATAAGACCCGTTCCCAAATGACCCAAGAAAAGAAAAAAAATAATAACTCCAAATTCGCCAAATTCGCTCCTAATATTTAGATTGATATCAATTTCGAGAATGGGGTATTTCCATAGGTATACCCGATATGTATTGCAGAATTTATGCGCCCCCAATTGCCGTCTTTTGTAAGAAAGTCTGTGCCGTGCATGGCTTTTGTTGCTATTAGGAAACATGAAAAATGAATGAAGGCGGAAAATTTAAATCAGGGAATATGAAGACAAAGGAAACAGATAGGATGCGTAAAGAAAGTAGAACAGTTCAAATGGGGGTGTTGAGGTGGCAGCGCGCCTGATGTATCACAGAAAGCTCTTTGTTTTTCTGGAAAACTTGGTGGGAGACGTATAGAAAGGATGGAATAGCACCTATGCTTCAGAATATCGGAAGGCCCCTAGAGAATTTTGGTATGTCATGATCGCTGGTTCAAGCCACATCTCCCACGACCGCTGGTATCATCTCTGGAGTCATCGACAGGAAAAACGCTGGATATGTAGCCAGAAATGGCTCATTAAAATGGGGATGTCGCGGAATTTAAATCAAGTCGGCGAGGTGTCCAAAAAGATCAAGAACGGCGGTTTCCTTGCTAGTACCATGAACAAATCGTACGTTGCCGGAACGAAACTAAATTTGTGGATGGTAAGTAAAACCATCGATCACAGTCTGAATCTCCCTGAATCAAACAAGTCCTTTGTAAGACTGCTTCTGCGAAGAGGTATCAGATTCCTGACAATTGGTTGAGGGGAAATGTTAAATAACCGTTTGACTGGCGTTGTTTGAGACGACTGCGAGGGCGAACTGGAGGTAGGGGTTTTAGATTCAGAGGGAGAACGTGATCTTGGGGTTAGGTCAAATAGATATTTATTCTCTTCATCCCTAACGTGGTCGAATTGAAATTTAGGCGCCTCCGGCTCTGTATGCGCTGTGGTCGTGTTCCTACAACTGCTGGACTTTTGCTTTGTTTCTGGTTTGGCGGCCCGAGTCTGTTGGCTCAGTCGGCGAGGCTGTGAGGGTTTTGAGGAGGCAGAAGTGCCTTGCCTGGAGGGGGGCCTTTTAGGACGAATGCTATGGGAACTCATTGGGCAGACATCTGGCATTAGTTTGTAGGTATATTTGGGTTGTGAGATATCTCCAGAAAGGCCCCAATTGGCATTTTTAGCCTCTTCCCGGAGTTCTCGTGGAAATTCAGGGGCAACCAGGGCGCTCCTCTGTAATGGCTGAGAGTAAGTATGTCTTCTCCGTTCATGAGAACTATGGTCCTCTTCTGTTCCTCCCTCTAAGCACTTAATAGCTGGGAAGGAGAGTTCCTTAACCGGGGCATATGAATTTCGTCTTGTCTGCGCGACAGAGTTTCTCCGTACATATTTGACCGCTTGTTTCTCTTTCCCTGATAGGCTCTTGGATGAAGATTTCTTCCGCATGTGACTGTGATTTTCTTCTACGTGCGTATTTGGAATTGGGGAGGGACTATATTCTGGAAACGGCATTGTTTCAATCTCGGAAGCGACTTGACGAAAAGCTTCGTGAGAATTGATCTCACGAACAATAGCATCATGTAAAGTTTCAAATGTAGGACGTGAGTGGGTCTCTTGTGATGATGACATGTACGCCTGCTTAAACATACTCATAATTTCCTCAACATTATAGCTCGGGGCCTTTGGAGATATCGCTGATGGAGTTGCTACTTGGAGTGGGCTGTTCACGATCTCCGCAATGCTTGCGCTTGGTTCGCGTCTAGGTGTTGGTACCGTCATATCGGGTGGTTGGCCAGATACTTTGACAAAAGTCTTGACCGGGGCAGCGAGTTTTGTATCAATTGAAAGGTCACGAACGTTTTTCCTTCCAGATAGTCTAGCTGAGGTCGGGGATAATAAACGGCTGGATGCATTCTTGGTGGCGCAAAGTTTGAGTGCAGGTCTATCTGCGGAAATCGTCCTAGGCTTTTTAACTTCGAGTTTCAGTGGATTGCTGGAGTTCTCGACTGTCCTGGGTGATTTCCAAGCATCTCTTGCAGATGGAAGGAGATCAGGAGAAATGTTGGAAGCTTTTAGTGGTTCTGGAGAACTCTTACTCTCCTGCCATTGGGCGGAAAATGCCGGAGAAGAGGTCCTCAATCGCAAAGCGATATACTGTCTAACCCCCATTCTGCATGTTGGACTACTACCAATATTTTCTGGTGTGTAGGAAAGAGGATGAGATCGGAGGTCCTGATCAGAAGATATGACTCTCAATTCTCCATTCCCCTCCGCTGGCGATGTTTCATACCCTGTCGCATTTGTCCTGGACCACAGCCTTGGCCTTCCATCCCAGTAGTAGGAAAGGGATGACGATGATCTTCCATTATTCAGATTGAATTGCGATCTCACTTCACCCTTTCTTGTCCAGCGTGCACGCGCATTTCCTCCACTAAGAAGGATATTACGGTCCGCGATGTCTTCCTGATATACCGCTGAAATAACATTCGCATATTTTGTCACCGTCTTATCAATTCCTTGACTCTGAATGTTGCGGTCGGCTATTTCCTCGTTGTACATACTCGCTGGAGATATCGGAGTTGGAACCCTGGCATGTTGGACCGGGAAGCTAGCTTCTACAACATCGACATGACGCCGGTTGCCGTAGGGAAATAGCTTCGACTCGAGGTTCCTAAATCGTTTGTTTTGCAGGGCTCGTGATGGACGGCGGCGAAACTGATCATGTAGGTCTTCGAATTGTTTCTCAATCCCGTAAAAAGTTTTGTTTTGCATGTGTGGGAGTCGTGGGAGGTTGGTTTCGGGGGACCTGCTGGACAAGGCACGACATGGGGAAAAATCATCGCTCGACAGTCCGTTCGAATCTTTCTCGATCAATTCGGGACTTGTCCCCTGAAACAATGTTTTCTCAACATTAAATAACTTTCTTAGGCTCGCCATTTTTTTTATCTATCTATCTATTTATTTATTTTTTTTTTTTTTCAGTTGGACGTTCGTGAAGCCGAGAGTTGGGTCAATGGCGTGAACCAGGAGGAGATCTCGTCAACCGGTTCATCGTACAAGCCTTATCGGAAGGTCATTTAGATACACGTTGGTTAAAACTTGAAAAATGGTTAAGAGCACTTGTATGGGGATTGGTGGTTGGAAGCTTGTTCCTTTCTTGTTTTAGAGCAGCCCTGAAACCGGAATATGTAAGAATAGCAAGAAAATATAGGAGAGAAAGCACTGGGCAGTCAGGGTAGAAGAGGTCATGGAAAAGAAGAAAAGAATAAATGGACGAAACAAACGAAACTTCGTTTCTCAAAGGAAACCGGAACCTTGCTCCTTCAGGGAGAAGGTTGGTTATTAAAATTCATTCGTGGGATTGGTAGGCGCGGTAGCACGAAAGAGTCCTCGCTCAAGCTTCTTGGCCTTCAAATATTAGGGACTTGGAACTTGGAAGGGCTTGCAAGAATAGCTAGCGAATTGAAAATAGTTCCGACTCTTTTAGGGGAGTTGAATCATCGAGCTGAATCGCCAATTGTTGGCATGTTCAGCACGAGACGCTTTCAGCGGGAATTTGAACACAATGCACAATGCACGGGGGCCCAGAGTCCGTACTCCAACTAAGAGCCTGCTGGAGCCTGGAGCATGAGCTATGGGATTGTGCTGCTCCCTTCAGAGGAGCTGAAGCTCATAAGCGGCCAGAAAAACGGCGCCAACGTTGGGCCCACAATGAAAGCGGCTTCGCAGATTTTGGTTCATCAGTGTGACGGTTTGAGTCTGAGCCGCGTCTGATGGGGCATGGCCCCACGACTAGGAAATATCATGCAAATAGAATGTCCGCCGGTAATCCGATTGGCAGAGTCGGGCGTGAAGATCTGATGATGTTCACTATATTAACACTCGTTCCCGGGTTCGTTCATTAGTTCCGGAGAATCAAAATTATTGGAAGGTCTGCTCCGTACGACTGCCCCGTACTGAGTACGGACGGAGTAGGTGCATCTATCATCGAAATCTGTCATCGTCGACTTTGTGATTTTCCGATGTCGAATTTGGTGTGAGGTGACCAGGGTAGTCTACTACCATAAAGTGATGATGATTTCAACCGCCGCCTCACGGAGAAAAGCGATTCCAGAGCGGATTGCTGAGCGCCGTGCAGAAAATTTATCACATTCCGTTGAAACCTAAATCCCACACTAGGAAGTTAGATTGTCACAATCACATCTCCAGGAAAAAGCTTGCATAAAATATCAAAAGGGGGGTGGAATAATATAGGGGCTACATTTGGTTATAATAAAAAGTTGGGCCCAATATTTCAAAACCATGATCTTTATAAAATATTTAAACAGTCTACACACTCTGCACATACAACACAAATACAAAATCTTTTATTCAACCCCCGCCTTCAACACCAGGATTAGGGTAGGTTAGATTAGGATTAGTTAAGAATATAAAATCAATGCTGCTGTTGAGGTTTGACTAGTGTATGTAGTTTTAATTTGGGGTGAGGTTGATTATAACATAAACCAAGTCGAAGGTTTTCTCCGGCTGAATTTTAAAATCCCATTCAACTGTATGCCCGTAATATCGTGGGGCTTTCAACATTCGACGAACTCACGGCTTGCGTTGTGGTCCTCGAGAATTTCTCGTGCGGTTTCATGTATAAAGTATCCAATGCATCTTTTGGTGTTGTCATGTGTACATGTGTATACATCGAGAGCTTTTCCATATTCCGTCTGGATGTAATGTCCGGAGTAATGTATCTATAGTACACTATATAGTTACGTACCAACGTAGATACATAGTTCCTGGGGTTGTTCGAGTTCAGGCTGATCTGCGATGTCTCTGATATTTATGTTGTGCCAGGCCACCTTGCTTGGGTCCCTCGTCAGGCTCTGGAGATAGATCTTCAGCACACGTACGTGCATTCAGCCGTACATATGGGCGCTGTTCTTGTCTCAAATTGACTGACGCAACATGTCTCACAGCTACGACCGAGATTTGCGCTGCAGAAATCACTTGCTTGTTGTTGGTTGTGCGAGGTTGTCCCATACCGACTTCCACTGCTTTCCTTTATTCTTCTTCGCATATATACCGCCTAACTCCCCATAGAGTGGAAAATATATATATATACGAGGCCCTTGCTCAAGAGTAGTAGTTGTCGATTTAGGACCTCCAAGGCTTGATGCTGTATCCCTGATCCTTGTTGTCCAGGGTCTTTTTTGCCTGGGATTGATTGCTGGGGTTTGACGGACACGAGGCGAAGCAGCGGAGATCAGACGCACATATCGGTCTTCTCCCGTTTCCTCCTATCTTCCTGCTATCTGATAGGAGGTTTGAGTAAAGAACGTTGCGACAATGACTGTGCTAGCGATTGAAGTTTGAAGTTCCCCCCCCGGAGATTCGTCTGGGGTCGCAGAACTGGATTGGTCCCTACCCGTCATGAAGTTATGAAGCCATCGCTAACTGTTAAGGGCCTAAGTAAGACCCTGCGAGGAATCATTTTACGAGGCTCGATAAAGCTCTCTTCCCTCTTCTTCTGCTTCCTTTGGTTGACTAACTGATGGGGACTTCAGTTTTCCGAGAAGAGCTATCTATCTGATAATCACTTTAATTTAATTTTTTTTGTTTCACATGGATACCAATGCTGCACCGTTTCCGAAGGAACAGGACGGAGTCGAGGTTATCGCGCTCATTGCGCAAGCGTTCAGTTGGTTTGGCGCTTCATACATCCCTCCTGGTCTCAAAGATGGAAATCTCACTCTGCTGCTGGGCAGAATAGAAATGTTCCAGACCCAAAAATATCCAGTGCGGGGTGCATGCTCGCTAACAGGAACGAACGCATTTCAAAATGGGCTGCTTGTCCAATGTTCAGATGTAAGTTACCAAAGCCCTAATTAAGACTCTTCTGCCAGTTTATTGCTGAATATATGGGAACGTATCTCAAGACACATCCGACATGTTATCCTTGATCGTTTGTCTACACTGTACGGAGAAATATATCCAAGGTTCAATTGCTGACACCGGGGTAATTAGAGTACCAAATATTGTTTACTAGTCTCACAAGGGGTAGCTAGTTACCCATTACATCTGGATGACAAGACAACTTCCGAACATCAATAATGTTAAATATGCATTTATTATATCGGTCATCGGTTCATACCAGTTGGTATCTGTACCTAAACGGGAAATCTAACAAGTTCGTCGAAAAATCTTGAAACACACAAATTCGGTGACGAGGTAGTTGTAGGATCAGCTTTATCTAACTGCCCATCTCCTTGACTCTCGTAGTAGATCAATAGAAACAATAGCTTCAAACGGCCCCCAGAGTTTTCCACACTTCATCTAAACCCATGCGGAAATTTTCACGTCTTTAAGTATTTTCTTCATCAGTTTGTGTATTCGTTTCTCCATCCGCAATTTTGGGAGTCTGTATTGTTGCAACTCATGTGTGAAGCCCAAATAACGTGTCACGAGCGACAGCATCCGCTGAACCACTACGACGAAGACGCGCAAGACAAAGACAGATCAAAACCATTCCACTCCCATCGTTCTGACAACGTTATGTGCGTGGATTATCATTTCTATTGGCGCTGCCATAGCTAGGGGCAAAAGCGTTGGAGCCCGGGCTGAACAGCGCTCCATTTATATTTGCTTGGACCGCATCTAACGCATTCGTGCTGTTAGGAAACAGGGGGTTGCGAAGTCCGTACGGATCAGTGTCGGTGATGGTGATAGTCGGAATCTGGTACCTCGACCAGGTGGGAGCGTTGGCTCCACCAATGTCTGGAGAAAAGATGTCGCCAAGTGTAGAAGTAAATGGGCGTGCAAAGGGAGCAGCTGTATTGCATGGATGGGTCATTTGAGTTGATCTGAATGGCAATGGGCACAAATATGAGTCAAAGGAAATGTCATGCTTCGTCTGCTCATTCTGAGAATCTCGGGTTTCCTGAGAACCATCACTTGCAAGCTTGTTGTTATTGGAGGTGGATACATAGTCAGGAATTCTGGCTTGAAGGGTCGTGTTAAGGGGGGGAGGGGCAAGCGTCCTGAAAGGGATTCCGCGTTGGCGGGAATCAGAAGTTTCTTCATTGAAATCTGTATGGAAATCGTACACCAATTCCATGGTACCTTCGCTTTTCACCATATTGCTCGATCCGTCAATTTCGGAAATTTCGTTCGGAAAATGAGTATCGGTGGCAGTGTGATAGAAAAGTCCGATGTTTCCATCGCTCGAGGCTGGTTCATTTTTGATTTCTGTAATAGAAGAGACATTCGTCGGCTTCTGCCTTTTCCTGGATGCATTACACTGAGAAGCCTTGCGTTTTATAGCTAAAGGGACGTCTTCATCATCTATTTCCCCGCAATTGGCTTCATACTCATTCTGGTCGAAAAGCTTCACCATGTCAGATTTCACCATCTCGATGTTAGGTACTTCTGCCTCTTTCATCGAATTACCTGGTGGCGACAGGGGTTCTTCTTTTTTTAATGTGACCTCTTTGGGTTTCGACTGACGAGGTTTGTACTGCTGTTTGGATTTTTCTTCGATGCTAGCAGGTGCGCTTGTCGTTTCAGCGGATGTTGCATTAATTGCACAGCTCTCGATTGCCTTCCTGAGACGGGAAAAGCGCATGCGAGCAGCAGGAGGGTTCAAATTGGCTGCCTCTCCTACGGCGCTGAAATCGATCTGTCACGGGCATTGCTTTCATCAGTAACCAACTCATGTAGAAAGGAACTTTGAGTGTAGAATCTGGGGGGTGGCCCAAAAGGAGAAATTCCCAATGCTCCCCAGACGCTTAGAACTTGCTGGAGATAATTTGTTCAGCGGAGGAAACAGAACTCACGGTCTTATAGTCTGATTTCTGAAGACAGATATATAAGAACCACAGGTTCACATCGGCCTGGGTTTTGGAAGGCATACCTGGATAAGCTCTCTTGTGAGTAGATAATTTTGGAAGCTGTTTGAGAAGGGTAACTCCTAATTCTCCCTTATTTCAGTCGCCTGTTCGAGTTGGGCCTTTGCCACCAGATATGGAATTGGGCAGTGGAACAACAGAGCGACAGGATGAGTATGAAAGAAAGAGAATATGAGATGAAGTGAAAAGCATGAGTCTTGTAGATGACAAGGAAACAATAAAATGAGACTGATGAGTGGACACACTGCAGCAAAATCACTCAGATGATAGACTGATGAAGGGATTGAACGACCCAATTCGCAAATACAGATAACTGTGATAAAGAATAACAGCCACTTAAAGGAATGTTCTTTTAAGCTCAAGCTGCAGACAGCCTGGATACATGTATACATCTGCGCTTGACACTTAGATATTGTAACCATAGGTGATAAAGAAGCGCCTTGACTTGAAAAAGATAGAAAAAGAGGACAGAATTCAATAGAAGCTATGGTAATTGGCCTGGATATATAGCCAAACTTAAATGCCTTCTATGGAAAACAGAAATAGAGAAATTTAGTCCATTTCATTGCATCAACCGATCGTCATGTCATTCCAGATCCATTTTATATTTGTATTTCAAGACCTTCCGTATTTGCTGTGGAGGGAGCTAATTCCTTTCCTGCGTGCATAGCAAAACGCTCTGCTGATTCTCTGGAAGCTTCCATAAGGACGGCTTGTGTCCCTCGAGCGGCATTAACAGCTCCATCTATCAAAGCTTCGTGGCTGAGAGATCCCTTTTGCGATCCGCCGTGAAAATCCGAAGTATCTCCCTTGAGCCATAGTTCCGTAATCTCGTCGCGGGATGGCATATATCCCACGACACAGGCAGCTGCGATTCCCCGGTGTTCGGACGGATCTGGATCTAGGACTAATCGTCGATCGCGACCCTTTTCGTTTGTCTCTTCTGGTTCTCCAGAAACTTCGATGTGTGGATTTTCAACAAAAGCAGCAACTCCACCAGTAATGAGATCCACGCAATCAATCCGGGCATCAACAATTGCTGCTGAAGCAACAGTAATACAGCCGGCAAGAACATTCATCAAGCCCCATCCATCTATCCCGCCGAATGGACTGGAGGATAAAGCATCACCCCACCATCGGTCGTCTTCCCCCTCTAATATCGTCACCGTGATATCGAGCCCACTTTTTGGCCACCTTTCGCCTATGATAACTCCCTTTAGAGCCGTCTCGAGGTGAACACCAAGATCCCTCTCGTTAACATCACGTATGTAACTCCTTCTTCGCCTGGTGGCGAACGGAGCAAATTTTACGTGTGTAGAAAGAAGAAGATTAGGGGAGAATGGGGCGGAACGAGGAAGAGGCTTTGGGCCATGAACGGTACAGGTGAGTTTTAGAGATGAGGAGGGGGGAATGAGGGTTTTCAATTTTGATCGGGGAAGGATTGTGGAGGTCTGGAATTCAAGATATGCGGAACCGGAGGCGGATGGGATTAGACCAGTTTTCAGAACTATTCACACACATTAGTACAAAATCTCTTGTATCACATGCTACATATTGTAACCAACATATTTTTCTCAGCTCATCTGGCTTTCTAGAACGGATAGGGCGTTCGAGCGCTATGGAGCGTCGGTTGTCGGAAGCGAGGAGCGATGACGCAAACACTGGTGGTCGTGTGTCTCCAGACGGTCCGTTTATACGTCTTCTATCGGCCATTATACATTACCCAATAATGAAATCAACAGAAACAAGGAAAAGCGCCCAATGAAAAGCAATAAGCAACTCTGCTGAACTTCATGATTTATCACCAGTGTCTCTCGCATCAAAAAATCCATAGCTTCAAAGTTAGTTGTTTGCACTGTTTGGCTCCTTAGCGGAACAACGTTTTGCCGTCACCCTTCGCTTATCCATATTTTTCCAAGGTTATATATGTTACTTCTTTTTCATTATGCTTCAACTACTACAACCACCAACTACATCACCACAAGCTATCTTCGTAACAGAGGAAGCAGGACAAGAAAAGCAAACTATGTAGCAAGAAGTACAAGGATTTTACGGCAAGTTTCTTCTCCTCAACTTTTATCCCCGTATTTTATTACCTTCATGAGGAAAACCTACCAAAAATCTGTTCGAGATTCTTCCGTGAGCGAATTGAACAACATGCACTACCATCTGAACCTTCCTTGCATTACTTGACCCTTGCTATATTCTGCTTTATGGATATAGCTAACAGCATAGCTATATTAGAAATCATTTTCATTCAGCGTTTCTCAAGTCAACGTGGCCGGTACGGTATTATTTTCAAGGATAGATATTAAAAATGGTTCGGCTTTACTCCCATCCTCTTCCATTCCCTACTTTGTACCATGATGAGAAACCTTCATTCAGTTCTGCTTCTGCAAAATTATTGAAGAAAAATCTATTATACCAAAAATAACGATCCTGATCCAAATTCTCATTCTGCCAAATTTTCAACATGAAGTTTTCACGAACTCAACTAACCAACTTTGGTCTGAAATAGTTTTCTCTATTCCCAATTAGCAAGAGGATATGATAAATAATCTAACATAGAATTACCCCACCGTGCTCCGCATAGCTCACCACTGATGTAAGCATTGCCAATTAGTTATATCACTTGCTCCCAACACCGAGTCCCTACCCAAGACCAATCATCATGATGACAACAAGTCAATCCATTCCACGAGTCTCCTCACGGAGCGCCCTTCTTTCAATAAGAAAACGAGTTTCTCTTTCGATCCCCCACTCTCCCCTATACCGGACCTTTCCTTTCTCATTTACGTTGGCTTCTCTTGTCTACGACTGGAGCTGTTCAGCATAAGTTCAGAAAGAAGGGGATGATAGGTTGTGGAGATGCTGGTGTTATCGAGGAGGTTAAGCGGGGTGCCTTGATAAACCCCCTTGCGCTCAGCCTTGTTTTTTCTTATTTTACTCGTCCCATCATCTCTTGGGTAGCGGTTCGTCTTGGGCTGTTGCTTTTGGGGATGGTGTCTGGATGGGGGAAGGGGATGAGTTCATGGCTTTGCTGAATACAGTAAAATATCCCAATGACCTTTTCATGCCCCTATCATATCTTCATGTTTGTTCTTGTATACCGTTGAACGTATCCAAGTGACGTTCAATCTTGGGGATGTCCTGGGTTGTCGACCCTCTTGTTGGAAGAATACCTATCTAACTTGATTTTAGGTTGTAGTAAGTCCAGTTTTATTGATCAGAGCTCATGCGGTTTCACTTCCACATAATGTTTCAAACTGCAAAATAATTTAACAGGCCACTCGGAGCTTGTTAGATAGATCTACTTGCCACACAGCCTTGACACGCTTTTAGTTTATCAATCTACGCTGAATAACTTTTAATGTTATATTCCTTGTTAGTTTTCGAAAGCAAGCATCAACTCGTAATGCAATTTTATTTCTCGGGTCTATATGGATTGTAATCTATGGATGTAAAGATATACACCGTCAGTAGTTTTATAATGAGTAATTCCTCCTATTTTCTACAGGATGCCTGATAAATCTCCTTTCAAGAATTCTCCTCTCCAACCTCTTTTCAGCTTTCGTCATGATGTACTGCTGTTGCTAATCTTTCCAAGATTGCATCTGATAGTCAAAATGTTGTGCAAAGCCAGGTGGTAGGAACTCTCAAAAAACAGCGGAGATGGATTAACTGACGGGTGGTTGGGCAGATGCATACGCTCAATAGGGAAAATGGATAGTAGAAAAACGAGACGTATGCATGTGGAAAAGTTCCATCACAGCGGAGAAAAGTCCATGGTCGTCGGAAAAAGATATATACAATATGCTGTGAAAATAGAATCGAAGAAAGAACAAAGCATACGCTTTCCGCCAATGGTTTATGTATATATATATATACGAACGCAAGGGATTCTATCCTCCCTTCTATTTTCTCAATTCCTGATTCAGTTTCCTCATATCATCGCTTTGATTTCTTTCGAATCTTGACGTTCTGGGTTGAACTATCACCTAGAGCAACGGACCCTTGGAGATATGCAGATATATCGGTATGTGCGGTAGGTAAAGGTGAAAGAAATTTTCAAATCATCGTAGTCATCGTTATTATCGTTTGTATGGGGGTGGGGTTTAACTTTCATGTTCTGCTGTGGGGGTTGTGGCTCCGTTTGTACGTGACATGCTGTACGGTGCCTGAATTGTGGATATAATGTCAGTCATTACGAAAGTTAAGCGTGGGGAAATGCAGCAACCACTGAGCGGATGGTAAATCTCCGTTATACATACTAAAACCTTTTTGGCATTGCATATCCGCCATGCCAGATTGCGGACATTTCCATCAGCACGGACGACCTCGGGAGCAAATTCGATGCCGAACCTAAAAAAGAGTAACATCAGTAAAAATATAAAGAAACAAGCTTGCAACTTGACTCAAATTTTGAAATGCTGTTTATACAAGCTATGAATTCCAGAATAAGAAGTTAACTTACATTTGATGTACGGCAAATACCACTCTCCTTGAGTATTTCCCATTCCTGTCAACTAGGCTGCCATACTGTTCTTCGACAGTTTGCGGTGCAATGTCGGGGTCCCTGTCAAAGCAGTTTTGGACCACAGGAAGCAAAGCGGATTCGATGGCAGCCCTGACAAGCCCGTATCTGTCGCCATAGATTGCATCGTCATCAAATCTGCCAATGCGGATCTCAAAGGGGCGCGAGACTGCCATGACATTATGTTTTCCGTTGTGGTGGTACCTAAATTCGAAGACGCCTTGCGTCCACCAGAGTTTATCTCCCGAGAAGACCATTTCCCCAGATGCAACGTCCTTTGGCTCGCCATCCTCTCGGAACTTATTGATAACAATGTCGCTTGAGATTAACCCTTGCTCACATGTCAAAGAGTCAAAAGAAGCCTTGTTAGTACCGATCCATCGACCTTGGGAAGAAATCCGTGTGATCTCCCGCGATGTATTATCAGTGACCATGTAGAGGCCAATCCAGTCTTTCTTGCTATGATTCAGCGGGGCGGTCCATTTGACTTTGATGGGGGCGCCATATTCGAACATAAGGTTCACCTGTTCACCCCTCCTGTCTGGCATGGATCTTGCCTTTTCACCCTCCTTATCACTAGCTCTTTCAAATTGTGCCGGCTCGGAAGATTGTGTTCCTTCCAGGGAAATGGAATAATCCTTTTGATCGTAACCAGCAAGATCTGGTTCCAGACGAGATATGGTGATTCGTGCAGGGTACTTCTGGAACAAGGCGGAGGTATCTTTGACGAAGGTCTTGACACCAGCGGCGAGCTTAGGTCGAGCGGCTTCTATGAACTCTTCAATGAATTCAATCGAGTCATCGAGTATTTTGTCTACGCTTCCATGGAATTGCTTCAGGGAAGGTGGCAAGGAACGCTTTAGGCTTCTAACAAGACCCGCATCTCGCCTTAGACTTTGACCGTAAAGCTTCTGCATATGTGGACGTTCGACCAGTTGGATAAATGCAATAGTTAATGTATGGCTCAGCAATGCTAGGGAAATAACTGACTTGGTACTGGTGATTAGAACCGCTCCCCAAACACCTGCCAAACCTAGAACGCGCTCAGGATTGTTCAGATACCGATAAATTCCACTATATGTGAGTTTTGGTGACTGGTCAAAGAAGAAGTCTCCGAAAAACCATCCAAACTCCCCAAGTGATTCGTAGATACTGGCAGATGTCCAAATCTGAAGTGCAATCAAACTTGCACCTAGAATATGCCTCAGGAGCACTAGGCCGTAGCCCCAATCTTGTGGGAAGGAGTACATCTTCCAAGTAGCGGCAATAAAGCTCGCGTAGGTCATGGTCATGCTAAGATGATATGTGCCTTTCCATTGTTGCCAGGCTTCTTGATTGCTTTCTCCGTACTTCACAAAGTGTCTCGTCCACATCTTGCAGTGCGATTGGCGGTTGAGTATGTAGCCAATACCCACGGAGTACCAAACCCTCCAAAGAGCAGCATTCAGGACGAAGAAAAATTGATAGACTGGTGTTGATGGGGTAAGAATAGCCAGAGCGGAGAAAAGTATTTGGATCAAAAGCACAGAAGAGTCCGTAATGCGGTACAGGTCGAAGTTGTGAGGACCTAGAAGGTTATGCATCGACGAAGGCTCTAAGGTAGCCACCGCTTTTCCCGAGTATTCGTTGTCATTGATGACCGAGGAGTCCTGAGAAACGTCGTCGTCTTGTGGTTTAACATTATCTGTGTCGACCGCGACTCTTTTCCGAGGTGGAGGAGCATTGTAAGTTTTCTCGATATGGGGGTTTTCAACCAGAACCAAGAACGCAAATTGGGCGGCATGTGCTAGAATGGAAATAAAAAGCAGCTTGTAGCTAGCTGCCATCAAAGAGATACCGTAATATCCCGCATAGCCAACGGAATACATTGGATGGGGTGCCATCTCAAAAACACCGTCGAAAGTAAGGTCCTGGTCGATGAGATAAAAGAAATCCCCCCAGTACCATGCGAAATCCTTAACTACCCGATGGGCGTCCAGTTTGACCCAGAGGTTAAAAAGTACTAAGCTCATCCCAGTAATCCATCTCAAAGCCAGCATGATGAAACCTTCCCCAGCGGGACGACCACCGCAGGCAATTGCGAATAGGCAGTACGAGGTAAAGTCGCACATGAGGATAAGATCAACAACTCGTCGAAACACAAGCCAGGTGTTGTATTCCGTTGGGGCGTCCTCGAAAGAATACTGCTCCGGGATTTTTGTCTCCAGTTCCCATTTAAGCAGGTTGTATAATACGGGATGAGGGTTCCGTCCGGTTGACGGATTCACGAAGATGTTTGATTTTTTGGCCCAACAGACCAAGGTCCGGCCGTTCGACTGCATGTGTAGAAGCCATCCTATTCCGATGTTGTACGCGGCACGCCAGAACAGGAAAATGATAGCAAAGGCAGCGACCCTGAATGATGATGGAAGAAACCGGAGGAGGAAGATATGACAACTTATAATGGCGAGGACGAAGATATCAGACAAGTTCTTTGGCTCTGAGGGTGAAAGGAGCTGCGAGACCATATCACGGGTTGGCGGAACGGTAAAGACTGGATTTTGATGTCATTATAGCATTAGCAAATCCTTACTTTAAACTGGAGGTTGATATTGGCGGGAAGATTCTATTCGCGCAGTAAATATAAATCGAGACAGCCACCCGTCCTATTGAGAGAAGTCTGAATGCTCATGCTAAATTTCATTGATGCAAGAGCAAAATCTGGACTAGAGAAGCCTTTTATACCTTCCCGACACCTAGCCATAATCATCCTTCTCCGGGGAGTGGAATCGAGAGCTTACTTGTGCCGCCTGGAGTTCTTCCAAAGGTCTTCTTTTCCGAATCGGTCCTCTCATCTTCTTCTACCCGTGACTTATCATCCAGGGCCTTGGGGGCCACACCTCCATCACTGGTAGGTTTTGATGGCTGTACGTTCCGTTCATGAAGCCCCTCTGCGTGGATGTGGAATCCGGTTGACGACGCCGGACCACTCATAGTTAAAGCGGAAGACTGTCGGTGCGGTCAATGCAGAAGCGCGAGAAGCCGGAGATTATGTCAAGTTGAATTGACTGAGAAGAGTTGAGATCGGAGAGATCGGATTGTTTCGGGCCCGGGGGGAGAAAAGGTGAGGATTCAACTCTTTTTGAAGGTTCTGAGTTAAACAACTAATAGTTATTTCAAGGTTCCCCCCCCCCCCCCCCCAACCGTTTAATAATTAATTAGTTAACTAACTTTAGAGTTAGCTAGTCATGGCTGGAGAACTCCAAACCACCAGCAGCAAACCAGAAACTATAGCAATGAACAGAACAAACCTCAAGAGTCTCTATTCTGGCGAGGAAAATCAGATGATAAAGTATCCCTACCATCCATCCATGGATGGGGATGTTCCTGGTGTCACCGCAGTTCCAGTGTTCCCTATTCGACAGCTCAAACCAGATTTTTGCGCAACGTTTTGTCTCTTAGTGTTGGGAGATGCAGAGGCACAAGAAGCGGGCTAAGATAGAGGGGCGAATCATTGCTCGAGGCTTCTTAGAATGACGTCGGTTGTTCCGCTCAACTTTTACTTTTGGTTGTGCGAACATCCATTTCGCGGGGAGTTAAAATCTATGTTGCGGTCTCCTCCTCAGGGGTACTTATCATTAAGTGATGCTGGAAGGAAGCATTGAGCATCGCAAGTCAAAAGCTCGCCCATTGACTAATTAGTTTTCATAGAATCTCCAAAGAAAATAAAAGTTCAATTTTATTCATGGATGCAATGGATGTTGTGGGTTTTCGGCTATCCATCCGAGTGCACTGATAGTTACCACACCGCACATGGTCATTCCAATGAAGCTCCCTGGAGTCACACTTCCGTTGGTTGGGGTGGTCGTTAGTTGAAACTGGTTGAGCTACGAAGTAACTAAGTTAACTAACTACGTGACTGACTCGGTTTAAGGGCGGGCCAGTTAGTTTAGTGCTACAGCGCCGAACACAAAAAAAGCAAAGGCCTCTTCTCTGCGTTGCAGTCAAGCATGTGAAAGGTCTCCAAAGGGCTTCAACAATTCGAACAACGTCATTCCTGTCTTGTCCTGATCTCGCAGTGTTTTTCTCTCCTATCCACAGAGTTTTAAAACTGGTATTCGAGCACACGTATCCACAGAATTTTAAAACTGGTATTCGAGCACACGTATATTCTGTTTGATCCTGACCCAAACTACGAATTAGCTCTGCATGTTTCCCTGTCCTGAACGCTACAGCCCTGGCCAAGGTTTCAGGATTAGGTTCCATAAGAGTTGCTGCCGCAGCTTTTGCTCTGGCCCGGGAACTCTTGGGATATCTCGAGGATTATCTCGCCAGGGATGGGCAGGCAGAAGGCTGCGAGGTTCCCATTGATGAGAAATACTGATTGCCACAGATAGCGGAGGTCATGGCATGAATTGTTTTCAGGTCACCCGCGTAGTGGAGAAACCGGTTCAGCGGCCAATTGGATCAATATAGGAAAGGGGAGTGGTTTTGTCTGGTGGACTTTTACAACAGGCTGATGGCGAATATCCTCCTGTCAATTGTCACCGTTGAAGCTCCGTGATATATAGTTACCACGCCTAAAAATGACCCTTCGAGAAAAAATGTTGGCAACTGCATGTGGGTTCTCAATGGACAACCGAATCCCCTTTTGAGCGATGAGTTCTTTTATAGCATCTCAGTCCCTCTCACTGCATACCCTAGACGGCAGGTTGTTCATGATGCAGCGGTAATGCTTTGTTTTCCTCCAGAGCTGGTTGGCTACATTGTCGTACATCTGACTAAGCACAAGTTTCATTAGTTAACTAACTTAAACTAAACTAACTAACTTAGGTTAGTTACCACAGTTACCGTAGTTCAACACGCAGACCTCGGCTATTTCCATTCACGGGACATGCCACTTGTATTAATAATACAACCTCCCCCCGTGCCCTACCAGATATCGATCCGCCACCAACAAAAAAATTATATCGTCATCGGATCGGGAATATGGCGCTGTGTAAACATTAAAATAAAAGCCAAAATTAAAATCCCATCAAGGTTGAAATTCCTATTAGACCCTCCAGATAGTTAACCCCGCGGAAGTTGTTGGTTCACCTTACGGTTAATATGGCTCTATTACTGGAGGAGCCAACTCCAGTCCTCCATGCATCATCCACAGCCATTCCCAAGCTCGTCGCTCCCGAACCAGGTATGTTCAAGGACCGCAGATTTCATTTGACGTTGAAAAACATACGTTGCATATCCACCCTGACAACTCTTGTCTCATTCCAGAGAACTGTCCCGGTCCCGAATCCGAACAAGCAGGCAAAGGCGATGCCTGCGCCGGCTGCCCAAACCAAACCATCTGCGCCTCTGCCCCCAAGGGCCCCGATCCCGACATCCCCGTCATAACCGCCCGCCTAGCCTCGATACGACACAAAATCCTTGTCCTCTCCGGCAAAGGTGGCGTGGGGAAGTCGACCTTCTCCACCCTCCTCGCACAGGCGTTCGCCTCCAATCCCGACTCAACTGTCGGCATCATGGACACGGATATCTGCGGCCCTTCCATACCGAAGATGATGGGTGTCGAGGCTGAGACGATCCATGTTAGCAACGCGGGCTGGAGTCCCGTGTGGGTGTCGGATAATCTATCTGCGATGAGCGTGCAGTTCATGTTACCCAACCGAGATGATGCGGTCATCTGGCGCGGCCCGAAGAAGAATGGGTTGATAAAGCAGTTTTTGAAAGATGTTGAATGGGGCGAGTTGGATTATTTAATCGTTGATACGCCGCCGGGTACGTCTGATGAGCATCTTTCGGTGAATTCGTTTCTGAAGGAATCGGGCGTTGATGGGGCGGTGGTCGTTACGACGCCGCAGGAAATGTCGTTGTTGGATGTCAGGAAAGAGATTGATTTTTGCCGGAAGGCGGGGATTCGGATATTGGGACTCGTGGAGAATATGTCTGGCTTTGTCTGTCCGAAGTGCACGCATGAGTCTCAGATTTTCCGTGCAACGACTGGTGGTGGCGGGAGGTTGGCGAAGGAAATGGGCATTCCATTCTTGGGCGCTGTGCCGCTGGACCCTAGGGTGGGTATGGCCTGCGACTATGGGGAAAGCTTCATGGATAACTTTCCCGATAGTCCTGCATCTGCTGCCTTGAGAGGGGTGGTGAGAGGCATCGTGAAGCTGGTTGGGGAGGATCCAGATGAGGTTCTTCCTAATGTTGAGTGGAGCTAGGGCTCCATATATTCATCCCGTCTCTTTCAAGAAACCTCGATAATTTTACTTTTGGATAAGATGTAAGGCATTGGTGTGGGCGTTTTGGACATCGACATAAAAGCCTCCAGGGCTGGCGTTCGGATTCTTTTTCCAATATTTTTACGATCACTCGTGGGAGTAGATGGATATTCTCGCCACTTTTATTTTATGTATTATATGATGATTGAAACGAACATATGATGATGCAGATATCCTATGTCCTGAAAGACAAAAATACTAATTTTATTGAAATAAACCTGCTCTTTGCATCCCACCAATCTACATTATCGGATCGATAGCAATGTAAGGAAATGCAAGGTCATATTTATCATGAAGCAGGCGGAACAGATGTATTTCACCTAGCTCCGCTGGCACCAAAATATGGCAACCTGTAGTCCATTAGCGCCGAAGAGAGCAACTCATTGGTTTTAAATAAAGCATGAAAATTAATAATGCTTCCCAATTAGTTATCATGTTGTCCCGTCATCCTATTCTTCTCCAGTGCTCCATGATTGCGGCAGCAAGAACAATCCCTCGCGAAGTCTCATCATCCATTGAAATCCTTATGTGGCAACGGGGCCGGGACGCATTAACGATATGCGTTTTCACTGCATCTCCTACAGCTATGTAACCCATTCAACATCAGAATCATAATGATTTGGAAGAGATAATTTCTCAGAAACAAAACGCGCCCGATAGCTATGTTCATATGCTGTATGTAAGTGGATAGTCTGTTGAATCAGTACGCGCTGACGAATGTATGGGAATGTGTAGTACATTTATGGCAAAGTCGCTATTGTTGTGGCAATCCCGAGGACGACATAAAACAACATAAATAGACAACTTATATCCTGGGGTTCTATTATGGCGACCAGCGAGTGTCAACCGAAGTAGTTGAAGATAGAAATTTTGAAATCCGAGGTGTTTTGTTGCTAGCAGATATGGATATCAACGTAGCTATGAGATGTCACAGACAATGTAACAGCGTTTGCTTGTAATGGATTTAAAAAATGAAAAGAGATCCATCATTTCCATTGGGATATCTAATATTGAGATCAAAACCTTGGAATGAATGCGGCGGCTACGTAGTTTAGTTAACATCCTCCAAGCAAATAAACAACATAGTTACCTGAATGAAGAAAGCTGGCAATTGAAAGCTGTGAACTTGAACTCTCTTTTTATCATAGTCATCATAGACTCACACTGTTGGTAGCAGTTCGTTCTGCTTCCGAAACCGCCAGCACTTGAAACATCACGGTCTGGCGAATCAGCGCATCAAGACAAAGCAGGGACATTTTGAGTGAGTTGGGCTGAGACACGCCCTGGTTGTTTCATCCCGTCCAGCAGCACCCGTCTTTGACGTGCTTATTGGAAGCTAACAGCGCATTATCTTAAAAATGACGATGGCGTTCCACGGGGAAAACTTAAAACGCAAATTTCAACTTCGGCTGGTTAACATGTTGAATGTGATCCAGGTGGGATTCTGGGCGCGCTCTTCGCTTTCTGGCTCCAGGCACCAAGGCTCGGAGTTCCACCTTTGACAGAAACTAAATATGATAAACGAGACGAACCTGGAACACGACGCGGCAACCAAGCCAACTCGGCCAGGAAAACATCTGTTTGGTGGTTCTTGAAATCTAATGTCCCTTGGAAGTTTGCCTGGCACTCTCCTTGCGCCTGAGTGGCTCAAATACTCACTGCCCTTGATGATGAACAGATGAAGAAACCAAGAGCGGGATGTCATAGTTATCCAATCAATGACTCGATGCCGCCCATACCAGATGTAGTTATTTCCCTCAATCAGACCCCCTCCCCTTCGGGACTCCGCCAAGCGCGCCCTGGTTAGCATGGTGTCAGATCTCAACATGGGCGGCTGGCAAATGCAATAAGTGGGGCTCAGATTACGCAGCGGAGAGCTGGCAGATCCTCTCCTGGTCGGATATTAGAGGGGGGGGATCTTCCTCGTGGAAGGAAGTGAATCTTTCCACTGTCATCTGTAATCTTGTTCCAAGGTTTCATTTTGCTGTCGGAGCTGATCTCCTTCTGCAACAAGTTGGCAGTGTGATATATCTCCTGCTCTGGAAGCAAGCGATAAAATTCCACTGTTAAACTCTGTTCTTTCTTTGCTTGTCTTTTGTGATCAAGTTTATTGTTGTATTGAGACTGGAGTCTCCTTGTTTCCCTTGCATTTCTGGTTTCTTTCTTTATCACACATTCTCTGGTTATCTGAGAGGTTGTTCTTGTTGTCTTCGACACCCTTCCGCTCCCCTCTCTCACCCCCAAACCTCTTCAACTTCTTCAACCTGCTCATTCTCTCATTCCCTTTGAAAATGGATCTTACGGAGTCATAGTCTTCACTATATTGACCTCATTACTATTCGTTTCTTTTGCATAGTCTCTCTCCTTTTTAAGATATATTTATACACATATACACCACTGCTTTGGGGGGGGTGTTTGTGTGCTTGTCATTCCTTTTCACCTTTCGCGTGTCTGGACACGGTTTACACTCTCCTTCATTATCATCGATTCCTGTAACTCCTAACCCCTAACACCCCTCCCTCACTTAATTTTTTATTTTATTTTTTTTATATATATATATTTTTTGTCTTGTTTTGACTAGCTTCTTTTCTTCCTCCTCCATTTTCTGTGTCGAAACCAGCCTTCAGGTAGAAATTCGGCAAGATGTATTTGATACAGGTTTTACTATACCTGTTCCTCCTTCTGGGCCCCTCGGTCCTGGGGGCGCCCTCGCAACCCTCGCGTCTGAGAAAACGAACCTTCAAAGTCGATCTTATTCGCCGTGGGGACTATGTCCCTAACGGCCTGGCTGCAATCAAAAAAGCGTACTCCAAGTATGGCATCATCCCCTCCGACATTGACTTTGGAGCTCTGGACGTCAACGAGTTCGCAACTTCTGTAGATCGTCAAGCGGTAAACAAGGCAAAAGAACCTGATGAAAATGGTGCTGTTACCAATATTCCCACGCAGAACGATGTACAGTATCTGTCTCCTGTGACCATTGGCGGTCAGAAGTTTGTGATGAACTTTGACACTGGATCGTCGGACACGTATGTATATACTATGACCTAACAGGAATGTATATGGGCAGGTATGGAGACATGAGCTTGTGCTATACGGTGCAATAAACTAACTTTTTTCCCCCCTTTTTTTTAATTTTACAGATGGGTATTTAACACGCAATTGGACTCAAGCATATCTGAGGGCCACTCAGTGTTTGATCCCTCACGGTCTCGTACGTTCGAGCTACTCCAAAGCACAACCTTCAACATCACCTATGGAGACTCCTCCTTTGCACGGGGCAATGTCGGAATGGACACAATCGACATTGGCGGTGCGACAGTCCAAAAGCAAGCTTTTGGACTCCCGAATGAGATCTCAGATTCATTTATTAGGGATGAAGGCTCCGACGGTCTCGTTGGTTTAGCATTTACTACCATCAACACTATGCGTCCGGAACCACAGACAACTTTTTTTGAGAATATCGCCTCTGACTTGCAAGAACCTGTCTTCACCGCTCAATTAAAATCCCAAGCACCCGGCAGCTATGAATTTGGCATAGTCGATCCTGCCAAATTCGTCGGTGATATGGTTGATATCCCTGTGGACAACTCGCGGGGTCATTGGGAAATCAAATCGAGCATGTTTATGGTGGGCGACGATACCTCCGTTAGGACCGTCTCGCGTGGGGTGCGTACTGCAATCGCTGATACGGGCACGTCGCTGATGTTGGTCAATGGGGAGATTGTAGAAGCTTATTACTCCAAGGTTCCTGGGGCACAGCTCTCTGCTGCTGCTGGGGGGTTTATATTCCCCTGTGGCACGGAGCTTCCGGATCTCTTAGTATCCATAGGGGATACGCATCTAGCAAGAATACCAGGCAGCTTGATAACATTTTCTTCGACGGGGCATGATTCTAACGGAAATGAGCGTAAGTTTGTCATCACTCTTTTCATTCTGGTTATGGTGGACTCTCATTTCTATTATGGATTTGGAGCATCCCATTGTTCACGGCCTATTCTTCTTATACCTTTATGCAATGTGACATCCATTACCTATGATAGTTTTACTAACAGAATTGTTTTTATTTATACATTCAGTCTGTTTCGGAGGCATCCAATCCAATAAAGGCGCTCGCCTCCAGATCTGGGGAGACGTATTCTTCAAAGCGATCTTCGTTGCGTTCGATCTCCGAGGACCAAAGCTTCGAATGGCAGCGCACGCTTAGATACCTAACATTCATTTCATATTTTTCATGCGTTAAATGTACCATTTCGACAAGGACATGAGGGACGTTGAATTGCGTACACCACATATATACCCCTTTATATACATACAGTACATATATATTATCCCCCTCCCTACTACAGATGAAGAAAGATACTCTGCAGATCTCCTGTCTATATCTTACATAGTATCGCTGCCACTTCTTTTTCCACCCCGACCTTGTTCTCCTGGTCCTTCGTTCAGTACCGATTGATACACTGTTTGCTGTATGCGGTTAGGTCACTGAAGATGGGCAGAAGGAGAGAACAGAGCGGTAAAAAAAGCTACAAGGATCCTCTGAGGCCTGTTTTCGTTTTGTCGTTCTTGCTTGTTTTATGTACTGTCCATGCCTACCTTCGTAGCCATGATCTAGGACGTTTATGCGGCTCTGTTTTCTGTCATTTCTGTTAACCTCAAAAGGAAATTTAGGTAATTCATTTTAAGATTTCAGTTCTGTACTGGAGAGTACATAAAGAAATATTTTCCCCTAGGATTGAAGTATCATGGACTGCGATGTCGAAGTGCGAATGATTATCTTACCTTGGGCCCCGCTAACGCCACACTTGGTGATCTCTCGGGTGGCTTATATGTCCTCCCCGTAGGCACTTTTAGGGGAAGATCCAACCTAAACAACAGTTAAAGCAAAATTTCCAACTAATTAAATTTCACCTTTATTTTATTTTATTTTTTTATTA